GTGATCATCTCAGTCAGTCTGTGCTTCTGTAACAAAAATACTATTTCCTGGGTGGTTTAAATAGTAAGCATTTATTTCTCACGGTTCTAATGGCTGGAAAGCCCAAAATGAAGGTACTGGAAGACCTGACATCAAAGAAAGCCTGATTTGTGGCTTCTTAATAGCTGCCTTCTCTTATAGCAGAGAGAGAGAAGAAGCAAGCTCTCTCACATCTGTCTCTTCTCATCCTTATAATCCCACTGATCTGTCATGAGGGCTCCAATACCGTGACCTAATAACTCACAAAGGCTCTATCTCCAAATACCATCACATTGGGAATTGGGATTTCAATATGTGGATTTTGGGGAGGGTAAATGAAAACATTTGATCCACAGCAGTGACCCTTTTAATAGGTAATTTGATCACATATTGACTCTGCACAAAAATCTCCAGTTAGCTCCCCATTTCTCCATAATAAAGCCAATATTCTTACAATGTCATCCAAAGCCCTCCATGACGTCCATCTCCAATTATTCTATCACTTGCTCTCTTCATTCTAGGCTCATTGGCCTCCTTGTTGTTCATGGAACACATGATCTGCTTCCACATTAGGCCTTTGTACTGGCCACTCCCCATATATATATTTAAGTCTCACAAGCTCATCTCCTTCATGGTTTGCTCAGGCCAGTTTCTTAATGGCTCTAAGCATCCTATTTAAAACTGCAACCCACCTCATACCTTGCCCTCCCAATCTTCCTTATATTTTTTTCTTTTTTTCATACTACATATGACCTACTAATACACTATATATGTTTATTTTTAATTGTCTGTCTTATCCCTTTAGAATGTAATCTTCACAAGGGCATAGGCCTTTATTTTGCACACAGATGTATTCCCAGTGTCTGGAACAGTGTCTAGCACATAATGGTTATTCAAATTATATATTTTTAAAATAAATAAAATATCTGAAGTCAACAACTGTTAAGATATCAGTACATCCTTTTTCAGTTATGAATTTCTAAGTTTATGTCTGGCAACTCAGTTTCATATTGGACTGAAATTTGGCAGTATTGCCAAACTGAGATTTGATTTATTTACCCAATTTAAACAAAATATGTTTAGCTATTTGAAGTCCTATAAGGATAATAAAATAGAAAGTCTTTAGATACATGACACTATTTTATAACTGTATAAATCATTAAGGCCCTAGATGTATTGGGGATATTTAACTTGTCAGGTAGTTTATGGTTATGTGATATTAAGTGCAAAAGAAGTTACTAGTTGCTAAATACATAATGCAGTATAATTTTGCTTCTGTTGAAAGGCAAATCAGAAATAATCAGCTCACTATAGTCGACAAGTAAAAGGAGAAAAAAACTTATGAAAAGTATACAGGCAATTTACTAAAATCATTCAGAACACAATCTTTTCTTTTTCTCTTGAGGGACTACTCTATGTCTTTGCAGTAATTTCTGCAGCCTCAAGTATTCAGTGTGGCTTAGAATTACATATTTTGTTTTGGATTTCTCAAGTAGCCTCATGGATAATCTTCCCTCTTCAAACAACTTATTATCCTGAACCAGATCAGACCTGGTTGTGATGCTGTCTTAAGGGGTCGTGCCAAGGTAGGGACCATACACAGTTCCTGGAGGCTGACTCAGTCAGAGTGGCTACTGATTACTGTTGAGAAAGAGATTGATGGTCAGTATTTCTTTCCTTAATATTATTTTATTATGAACATTTTTCCTTGTCAATCAATATATTGCTACCAAAACAAGTTTTATTGTAGCACATCATTCCTATCATATGGTTTTGTTTTATTTTTATTTTATTTTTTATTTTTGTGGGTACATAGTAAGTGTGTATATTTCTGGGGTACATGAGATGTTTTGATAGAGGCATGCGATGTGTAATAATCACATAAGGGTAAATGTGGTTTCCATACCCTTAAGCATTTACCCTTTGTATAAAAAACAATCCAATTACACTTTTATTTTTAAATGTATAATTCATTAATTATTGACTATAGTCACCCCATAGTGCTAGCCAATACTAGGTCTTACTTATTCATTCTAATATTTTGTACCCTCAGTTGTTAGTATTAAGACTAAATATCAATTATAAGATCCAAAGGGTAGGTGTAAAGTCAGAACTATGCAGTGAGATAAGATCAGGAACAGAGATAACAGAAAAATGTCTGAGAACTAACAACAATGTGTGTAACACAGGGGAGAATAATATTCACCATAAATAATTCAAGAAGATTTATCCTAGGAGAAGCAAAATGAGAGCCCACATTCTTGGTGGGTTCCTCTGTTCTTCTGTCACTGGGAAGTAAAGCATGATGAGCAAGAAGCACAAAGTTGATGGGGTCCTTCAGCCTCCTGGAGTGACTCTCTGCAGCTCTTGGGCAAAACAGATGTTTCAATGACTACCTGGGAGAGTGAGGGGAAAACTCAGAGCCTTTCAAGCAACAGAGGTGTGAGAGAGAAGTTATCCACGTAATTCCCATTAGTCTGTTTTTCAGAGATACAAGTTGTCACGCCCATTTGGGATATTAAATGATAAGGGTTCAGTATTAACCTTCTGTACCGTGCAAAAGGGAATAGTCAAAAGCATATTTACTGTTCTCATGAAATTTGTAGTTTAACTATGAAGACAAGAGATATCTCTGTGAAAAGTAAAGATCACTTGCTGATCAACTAAGTTTTCTCACTTTCTAGTTTTTGTCTTTGTATACACCTCCTTTAAGAACACTTTCTCCGAAATTGGTTCCAGTCTGACTGACTGAGGAAATATTCAGGACTCAATCGCATGTACAGATGTCGAACATTACATAATCACTTATACTATATCCATTGTACTTGTGACTCTCATAAAAATGTATTTTTTCAATAACTATTTATTGCATATCTGCAATGTGCCAAGTTGTGTTGTAGATATTAGGAAAAATGAAGTAGACAAAACATTGTCTTTGTCCTCATGGAACTTACATCTCAGTATTATAAGTGTGCATACCCTCTCTTCCTACTAGGAGAAAACACTATTTTTAATCATTCTTTCACAGAGAGTTTCTTAAACTTATTTCATCAGAGACTACTGAAAAGCACACACTCTTCCATCCCCCCAGAATGAGAATCCTGGGGGAGGGATTGGGAAGTCTATTTTTTTTAAGAAACTCACTGGGTGTTTCATGTGCATTCACAGCTTTAGGTAACTCTGGGGGAAAGCACTACCTTATTAAGAGCATACTGCTGAAGAAATTGGTAATATCCATTGTACTATATCTGTAGGATCCCTTTTGATTGTCATTACCAAACATCTCATTCTTGGAGAATACGAAAGCTCTCCAAGGCTTTCCACAGCCAATTCACCTAACAAAAAATAAGGGAAACTTTTTCAAGAATACCATTATTTTTAAATAAAATGCCTCTACACGGCAGATGTTACTATGTTCTACTTTGGGGATGAAAAGAATCAAACATTATTAGTTATGGTCCACAGAATCACAAGATTTATTTTAAAGATAAAGTTCAGATGATGAACATAAAGGAAGTTATCTCATCAAAGAAGGCAAGACAGAGTAGATCTCAGAAGTCCACCATGTACAATATTTTAAAAGGCTCCCTAAAGTTGTTCTTTGTGAGTTAATGAAGGTCAGTGTAGTCAATATTCAGTACGTAATCCTAGCAAGTACACATAAAGTTAATATTATTCAAATATCTTACACAGGCTTATTGCATGCAACACACTGTTCTAAGTAACATACAGATATTAAGATGACTTAATTCTCAAAACATGTCTCAAAACATGAAGTGAGTTTTTGTTTTTATGCCCATTTTACAGATGAGAAAACTGAGGCATAGGGAAGGTAAGTAACCTGCTTAAGGTTACATAGATGGTAAATTGTAGCCAGGAGTTGGAATCTAGGTGACAAAATCTACGCTCTTAATCACTAAACTGCCCTGCCTTAGTTTTTATACTTCTTTAGAAGCCTCAGACCAAAAGAAGTTTAGACAATTCTAATAGAACAAGCAAGAATTTGCTGATCACAGCTTCCTTGCCCCAATCCTTTAATCGGCTTCATTTTCATTGACTTCTTTTTTAAATGAAGATAACAGTGTTGTTGAACAGGATCATCTAGTGGTTAGAGGTTCAGCATAAGAATGACTTGCTTCTGAAGCTCAGCTCTACCACTTGCTTGCTGTGTGACCTTGAGAAAGTTACCTCTCCAAGTCTGTTTCCTCATCTTTAAAAGAGAGGTTATAATAGGACCCACATCATCCTATTGTTTAAAGAGAAAACAACATAGCCCACTTAAAGCACTTAGAAAGTGCTCCATAAATATTATTAGTGTAATAAATAGCAGCAACATCAATAAAGTATGAACCAAATGATCTCTTGATTCGTATACTAACACTAAAAATGGTTTATTTCCCTTCTAATTAAAAGAAAATTACAACAACCAAGCAACAAACCAAACCATAGTCATAAAATCAATTATATCTTTTGTGAGAAAACTGGAAAGGCTATTGGACACATTAATTCATTTGTCATCAGTCATTCCCTCTATTCCAAAATGTTTGTGTTCTAGCATCCTGAGACACCTTGCATAATATAATCTGTGACTCCAAGAGGTCAAATGGGCAGGCAGTTAATGCTTCTCTGTGAAAAGCTCAATAATTCATTTTATAAATTTCAGTTTAAAGCCTGCGTTGAGGTTAAGAAAAATTGACGTTCAGTCTGTGAACTTAATGTCAAGCTCCAGAAAAACTCTGGGCAGCACATGGTTAGCAATTAAGTGGACACAGACAATAAAGACGTTGCCAAATTGTAAAACAAGACTTGGAAATCACAGAAAATGTTGCTAGTTATTGATTACGGTGACCATTCAGTTCCTACTGAGCCACCCAAAAGAATCATTCATTTTCCAGCAGAGAGCCTGCTCATTTGCAAGATAAAAGAGAGACATTTCTGCACATGCCCATAATGTTCTTCACCACTGGGGGCAGCTTTACATAAGACTGCATTCAGTGAAACCAAAGCAACAGTCCGAGCAGCTTTCAGAATGACAGTCTGCAGAAGTGAGCTGAGCGTGTGCGCGGTACGGGGCTCTCCTGCCTTCTGGGCTCCAACGCAGCTCTGTGGCTGAACTGGGTGCTCACCACGGGAACTGCTGGGCTATGGAATACAGATGTGGCAGCTCAGGTAGCCCCACATTGCCTGGAGGAATACATCATGTTTTCCGATAAGAAGAAATTGTAGGAGCTAGTTTTTTTTTTTTTTAACCGTCCCCCCGCCCCCCAAAAAACTGTAAAGATGCAAAAACGTAATATCCATGAAGATCCTATTACCTAGGAAGATTTTGATGTTTTGCTGCGAATGCGGTGTTGGGATTTATTTGTTCTTGGAGTGTTCTGCGTGGCTGGCAAAGAATAATGTTCCAAAATCGGTCCATCTCCCAAGGGGTCCAATTTTTCTTCCTGGGTGTCAGCGAGCCCTGACTCACTACAGTGCAGCTGACAGGGGCTGTCATGCAACTGGCCCCTAAGCCAAAGCAAAAGACCTAAGGACGACCTTTGAACAATACAAAGGATGGGTATGTTTTGTCATTTTTTCTTCTTTCCTTCTTAAAAACAAAAAGCAAAAAACCTCTAGTCTGTGTAATAATTCTGCCTTAATTATTTTAGAGATTACCTTGCTCTGCTCTAAGACTGAATTTATTTGCTTAGTGGACACGTTTCCTTGTTTAACTGTTTTAAAAAACAAAACACTAAAGACAATTCTCTTTAATTACAAAGAGATAATATGAGATGTTAAATGTTATCTAGATTTAAATTTTAAAAAATGAAAAATACATGCCTATTTTTGCTTGATTAAAGATTAATTCTTTTTTGGGGGGATAACTTTTCTAAGTTGTTTTTATTTCCAGGTTTCAATGTAATTAGGCTACTGAGCGGATCAGCTGTAGCACTGGTTATAGCCCCCACTGTCTTACTGACAATGCTTTCTTCTGCCGAACGAGGATGCCCTAAGGGCTGTAGGTGTGAAGGCAAAATGGTATATTGTGAATCTCAGAAATTACAGGAGATACCCTCAAGTATATCTGCTGGTTGCTTAGGTTTGTCCCTTCGCTATAACAGCCTTCAAAAACTTAAGTATAATCAATTCAAAGGGCTCAACCAGCTCACCTGGCTATACCTTGACCATAACCATATCAGCAATATTGACGAAAATGCTTTTAATGGAATACGCAGACTCAAAGAGCTGATTCTTAGTTCCAATAGAATCTCCTATTTTCTTAACAATACCTTCAGACCTGTGACAAATTTACGGAACTTGGATCTGTCCTATAATCAGCTGCATTCTCTGGGATCTGAACAGTTTCGGGGCTTGCGGAAGCTGCTGAGTTTACATTTACGGTCTAACTCCCTGAGAACCATCCCTGTGCGAATATTCCAAGACTGCCGCAACCTGGAACTTTTGGACCTGGGATATAACCGGATCCGAAGTTTAGCCAGGAATGTCTTTGCTGGCATGATCAGACTCAAAGAACTTCACCTGGAGCACAATCAATTTTCCAAGCTCAACCTGGCCCTTTTTCCAAGGTTGGTCAGCCTTCAGAACCTTTACTTGCAGTGGAATAAAATCAGTGTCATAGGACAGACCATGTCCTGGACTTGGAGCTCCTTACAAAGGCTTGATTTATCAGGCAATGAGATTGAAGCTTTCAGTGGACCCAGTGTTTTCCAGTGCGTCCCAAATCTGCAGCGCCTCAACCTGGATTCCAACAAGCTCACATTTATTGGTCAAGAGATTTTGGATTCTTGGATATCCCTCAATGACATCAGTCTTGCTGGGAATATATGGGAATGCAGCAGAAATATTTGCTCCCTTGTAAACTGGCTGAAAAGTTTTAAAGGTCTAAGAGAGAATACAATTATCTGTGCCAGTCCCAAAGAGCTGCAAGGAGTAAACGTGATCGATGCAGTGAAGAACTACAGCATCTGTGGCAAAAGTACTACAGAGAGGTTTGATCTGGCCAGGGCTCTCCCAAAGCCGACGTTTAAGCCCAAGCTCCCCAGGCCGAAGCATGAGAGCAAACCCCCTTTGCCCCCGACGGTGGGAGCCACAGAGCCCGGCCCAGAGACGGATGCTGACGCCGAGCACATCTCTTTCCATAAAATCATCGCGGGGAGCGTAGCGCTTTTCCTGTCCGTGCTCGTCATCCTGCTGGTTATCTACGTGTCATGGAAGCGGTACCCTGCGAGCATGAAGCAGCTGCAGCAGCGCTCCCTCATGCGAAGGCACAGGAAAAAGAAAAGACAGTCCCTAAAGCAAATGACTCCCAGCACCCAGGAATTTTATGTAGATTATAAACCCACCAACACGGAGACCAGCGAGATGCTGCTGAATGGGACGGGACCCTGCACCTATAACAAATCGGGCTCCAGGGAGTGTGAGGTATGAACCATTGCGATAAAAAGAGCTCTTAAAAGCTGAGAAATAAGTGGTGCTTTACTGAACTCTGGTGACTATCAAGGGAACGCGATGCCCTCCCCCCCCGCCCCCCTTCCCTCTCCCTCTCACTTTGCTGGCAAGGTCCTTCTCTGTCCGTTTTAGTGCATTCATAATACTGGTCATTTTCCTCTCATACATAATCAACCCATTGAAATTTAAACACCACAATCAAGGTGAGGCTTGAACTCCGGTTTAATATAATACCTGTTGTATAAGACCCTTTACTGATCCCATTAATGGGATTTTTTTTAAGATTTGTTTTAAGATAAAATCTTATTTGTTTTAAGATAAAACTTCTTTCAAAAGTAATCCCCCACATCTGCTGTTATCCTCCTGGTGGTACCAAATCTACAGTTATAGAAGGTTTGCAGCTCACTGGCAAATCAAGGAAAGAGGTGAATGATTCCAGGTGCTTGGAGCTTGAGCTGATTCTTGGAGATGACTCAGTTATGGGAACATTTTAAAGACAGGCAGAGCCTTTAAACCAATGCCTGACTTAAAAAGAAAATTGCAGGAAACTATCAAAAGATGGTGCTAGGTTAAAGCAGCACCCTGATCAGTTTCCAGAGGCGTCTGAATTACAGTAAGGCAAGCACAGGCACAAAGTGATGAAGGGTTAAAATACTGCAAGTAGACAACTGCAAAATGTGAGGAGATGACAAAAATGTAAAGTTTTCGACTCAAAGCCTTGTCTTTGAAACCCATCTCTGTAAAATCAGACTAGAGGTTTCACTGTCAATTTCTTCCAGCCTGTATGTTTCACAAATAAATAAATGAAACAGCATTGAGAAGCCAGATTTCTCCACCACACCTCACGTTAGTTAGCGAGTTTTCAGGTAAGGTTTGCAAATGGGAAAGCAGCTTGCTACAGGCATGTGGTTGAGAACATACTAGAATTTCTCTTTCCAGTTTTTTCAAAGACCCTAATGTAGTTAGTATAATCATTAGCTCTGTCCTGATCTGTTCAGGATTTGTCAGGCTGCCCTGTTGTGTTCCATTACATGTCCTGCACACACTAGTCCCCTAATGACAGACACTTCCTTCAGATGTATAAAGAGAACACATTCCAAGACATGCCTTCCACCCATAGCCTCATTGAAAAGGATGACTTTGATAACACCTTAATAAATGTATAAAATAAATCTTAGAGGAAAAAAGACCACTATGACAGTTCTGTTGCTTTTCTATTGCTGACATTACAGTGTCCCTGTGTTCATCTGTATTGTGAACTCATCCATCAGTACAATTCTGTACAGACCCTGTTGGCAATCTGCAAGCTGCATGCATGTTTTTATGCCATTGGTGAAAGTTTATTGACTGCAGCACGAATATCATAGCCTCTGTATTTGAGTAACTTGAACCATAGTCAATTAAGGTTTTTAGAAATACATATTTAGTCTGTATTTTCCTTCATCCTCCAAAATGAACAGTTCTATTATAGAAGCAAATATCAGGAATTGCAACATTGAGGCTGTTTCATTTAATTTGGCTTGCCAACCCCTACATCTTTAACCATGTCCCTCTTCTCTGAAAACAGAATCACTGCAGCAAAAAAGAAAAAGTGAATGGCTATTTTTACTAAATTTTTTTATTGATTGGGGGTTTTTCATATGCCGAGAGGAAAAGTCTAGGCAAGTCACCATAAAATAAAATTTTAAGGATGCCAGATTATTAAATTCATAATTTTATAAGCAATAAAGAAAAAGAAGTATTTAAAGTGGATTTCTCAAGGTACTTTGATATTGATTAAATCTTACAATAGATGCCACTTCAGAAAAACACTGTAGCTACAATGTTTACCCATGAATAATTGTTGAATGTACATGTATTAATGACAAAAAGTCACATATTTCCAATGGATTAATAATGCAGATACTTCCTTACAGCTTACTGGATGACTGAGCTTATTGTGATGGTTTTTACTGAAGTTGTAACTTTACATTTTTCATAAAGCATCAGTAAATACATATTCCATCTTAACAAGAAATTTTCTTTGGCTAGCCTCATTTTTATCTGTACTAAAGATGTATTAATGAAATGCAGTCTTAAAGTGAAGAACCCCATTTCTATTCTTTTTTACTTAACCTTCTGCCTTACTTGTGATGGATACCAAATATATTTAGGCAATGTATACTTATATTTTTGAATTATTGCAGATTCTCGATGCTGTGGTGCTACTAGTATACATAAAATATGCTTGCTATATTGAAAAGCATTTCTCAAATTCAAAGCTACTTGGTATATAAAATATGATATAACACTAAATGAATCGCCAATATTTTGAAAGCTGGTCACTTTTTAATGGCTAACTTTACTTATAAACATAATAATAGATAAGAACAAAAATAAAATCCCTTAGGTGGTAAAACTCATTTTGATTTGGCACATTAAATTATGGGAAAAAAGTTCTTTCTTCCTCCTCACTCTTTGAGAATGAATATTCTGTAGTTCTCAGTATCTTCTGAGCACAGATATATAATTCTTGTAGATTTAACAATAACTAGTTTACCACTGTAAATTTTAAAAAGTCAACTGCCAAATAGTCTACTGCTCAAAAGTTGTTGCCTCACCTCCATCTCATGGTACTTTCTGGACTATACATCATAAATCTATTCATATAAATATTTCAAGTTCATGCAGATTAGAGAAATGTGATTGATATTTATGTTTCTAATATGTATTTACATAAAATATTGGACTTCCTCAAAGGTGACAACAGTTTAAAAAAAAAAAAAAAAAGCCTGACCTGTTGAACTATACAACAGAACACAGAATACTTTGCTTTACCAAAACAGAGAAGAAATGGAATTTAGTCTCTAAACTGCATGTGGGTTTTTTTCCATTTTTATTAACCCCAGTACAGAGAGTGCTACCACAGCATGTAGTTAATAGTCCCAGTGCCACAGTCTTGTAAGCAATACTTATGCAAGATATATTCTATTTAAATGAGTTTGTATTTTCCAAGGATGTTGATATTACATCTTTTCAAAGAATTTACACCATTTTTCACTTGATTTTGTGAGTGAACTACCTAAGTAGACAGGCAATAAATTGTCTTTCTATGGAGCAGCAGTGACCTCTAGTGGCTAGTTAGACTAACCACAGCTATTCACACATTTTAGCTTTTTATCCTGAATCCTTGTGTAAATGTGGTTTACAACATATGTTTTTTTGACTAGTAAATCAGATTTGAATTTTATTTAATTAACTTCTCTGGTAAATATAATTATAATGTAAGTTTTTAATGTTATTCTTTTCATTTTGACTTTTTTAGTAATACTGGAACAGAGGCCATAGAATTGGTACTGAGGGCTAGAAAAAAGTGTCCAAAGATGAAAAGCGAGTAATAATGCAATAAGAATAGATAAGAAATATTTTAAAGTGCTTATGCTCATCAATGCTGGGTAAACATTTTGACATTTTTATTAAAGGGGTTAATGTTTTTCATCAGCAAGATACATACAACTTAGGTAGGAAAAACAAATTTTAATATTAAATCAAGAGTCGGCATTAGTTATTCACTGGTCAGTAGATATGTCAAAGGTGTCAAGGGAGGGGGCCTCCCCTTCCGGCTTTAGAACTTAGTTTGCTGATTGTGCCAGTGACCTGTGCTTTGCCCCAGCGCTTTCTCCCTCCCTCCCCCTTTTCAGTTAGCTGAACACTGGTTCTATTAGGCTCTCTGACAATGATGTTACAGTCTAAGAGGTGATGATTCATGGATAATGAAATTATGCTCTCCTTCTGGGGAAGGATAATGCAGAGTCAGATTCATGGATTTGGCAAGAGGTTTTAGGATGCTGTAGGTGCATGAAATATCTTTTCTTCCCTTGACATTTACCAAAATGAGAACTCAAATTGTTTATTTAAAGTGTGGATTAGACTGCATCAGAAACAGCATCAGGTCATGAAGCCTGAGACAAAGTGAGTTCCAGACATGGCAAGTAAGAATCGAGCCATGAGAAATAAAAAATTCAGAGGCTGTTGCTTCATCTATTCCTTTTTGCTCTGGATTGTCATTAGAATCCAGATCTGTAGCAAACCCATGGGGTTTTGCTATTCTTGTATTCTCCTAGCTCCCTACACTAAAAATCAGAGGCAGTTTTGGGAAACAATGAGCACAAAAGCATATTTGGGTAAATTTGAATGACATAAGTTTTAAGTGAAGTAAAATGAATGGATGTTAAATAGCTTGTATCAAACAGCTCTAATTGAAAACGAATTAAAGAAAGGATAATAATACACAGGTGAAAGTGACTGCTTTCCGAATCATAATAGCCTACAGAATTGGACCCAAATTCTTTTAGCCTCCAAAAGTTGGTGATGATTTTGGCTAGTTGGCTAGAATATAATAAAATACAACCAAGAAAATCTAAATAACAATAATTTATTATTATTTTTCATTTGAGGAAAATATGACAGCCAGGCATGGTAGAATATGGGCCTTAGAAATTAAGACCTAAATTCAAGTTCCTTTGACACTTGCTAATCAAGACATCGCAGGTAAATTTCCTGGCTTTTCTGAACTTGAAGTTTCTCATATGTACAACAGATGTGTACTATTGACTGCTCATGGTTATGAGGAGGACGAAATGTGAAAAGTACTTTGTAAACTCTAAAATGGCAACTACCTCTTCTTTTCAAAAAGCACTTAGTGAGATACTGAGTGGGGTTCATTGTTCTATGTTTGGCATGAGCCAAAAAGAAATCAGTAACCTCTATGTTACAGAACCCCAAGCCCATTTTACATCATTACAAGTCTAGAACTTTGTCTGTGACTTTCTGTTTTCACATAGACACAGCTTCTTTCACCTCATGTATCTAAGTCTATGATTTTTACACTGATTGTCACAATGTACAACAGACATAAAGACACTGACCACGGAACACTAAAACAAATACTCATCAAACCCATTAAAAATTCTAGTTGTATTTCAAATCAGGTA